AGTCCCCTTCTATTGACTTGATGTTTTGATATTTAATTGAATAATCAAAATTAACATTTGACATTTATGTTTTGACCATTTTTGTGCATTTTAATATTTAGGGTTATATTCCCCGCTGTTCAGTTCAAGTAATATTTCATGTTGTTCGTATAAGTCATTTGCACATTTGGCTTAAATTATGTACATTTTTGCTCAAGTACATGTCCTTTGTATTGCTGCTCAAGTTAGGTCATTATGTTGTTCAAGTTCTGTGTACTTCAGTCTGACATTCGGCAGCATCCCGACATATCCCCTATTTGGGAGAAATATAGGGAGTCATAGCCCGCCCGCCACATGAAGAAAGACGTACACGATCAATGTTTAAAGACACCACGACCCTAGTATTCAATCCCACCACGCCAAGAAAGGTATGGATGGGTCTTCAGAGGTACATGTTCTATTTTATTCAAATTCCTTATTGTTCATGTCTTGTGCATTTTACTTTGAATTTCAGCAGCATCAAGGCATATTCCCCATTTGGAGGAAATATAGGGAGTCATAGCCTGCCCGCCACATCAAGAAAGACGTGCACGGTCGGTGTTTAAAGACACTACGACTGTAGTCTTCAATCCCGGCCACCATGTTAAAAAAAGGCGTGCATGAGTCTTCAGAGCAATCTGTTTAAAATGCACAGTGATTTCCCCGCATACGGGTGCTTAAAAATTTGCCCCGCCGTGATAAAAAAAGCGCACACAAGGCTTGCCTGCTTTGTCGTAAGCATTGCACCAAGTTTTCTCCCACCATGCTAAGAAAAGAATACAAAGGGGGTCCCTTGGCGGTGCAAACATTGAAAATGGGACTTTAGTTAGGGATTACCTACCTCGTCGCGAGCATCATAACGAACTTCCTCCCACTGTGCTAAGAAAAGCGCACATAAGTGTTTGTTTGCCGCGCTACAAGTGTTGAAAATGAGTTTTCAGAGTTTGGAGAGGTTATACTTGTGTGGCGAGGATGATGGTGGTGTTGACACAATGATCGAGGCAAGAGGAGCATTTTTATTTCTTTTTCTTTTTCTTTTAACTAACTTTAATTAATTATAATTAATTAAAATATAATTAATTAATTATAACTCAAATTAATTAATTATGATTAGCATCAATTAATTATAATTAAAATAATTAATTTATAGTTAATATAATTAATTATAATTAGTTATAATTAAATTTAATTCATTATAACTAATTATGATTATTATTAATTAATTAAAATTGTAAATAATTAATAATTAATTAATTAAAATTACAAATAATTAATTATGATTAAGTAACTAAATTATACCTAATTATCATTATTATTAATTAAGTATAATCAAAGATAATTAATTTTAATTAATTAAGATAAAAAATAATAGAAAAAGAAAATACAAGATTTGAACACGATTTATGCAGGATTTGCTTCCGCATATAACAGAAGATGAGAAATCATAATGATCCAAAAAAAAAAAAAACAATTAAATGGTAGTCCCAAAAAGAATGATGAATCTGATGAACTCTCAATATATCGTAGACGATGTCAAATCAATCTTCATACTTTTCTTCGCCAAAGAATATGAAACTCTATTAATAAAAAACAAAAGTATGCTGAACATGCAATAGTATATCGAGCCTTCAAATTCATACTTCTCCCTACTTAATAATGATATGATTTCATAACTTGTGTTTCTAATGCTCCAGAGAATTATATATCCAGTGGAGTATAATCCAATAGGGAAAAGACATGAAACTTGCTATTTGCTCATAGTTAACAGTTTTGACTTTTTTTTCCTTTTCAATTTTCTTAGAAATATATTAGAAACTTGCTATTTGCTCATAGTTAACAGTTTTGACTTTTTTTTCCTTTTCAATTTTTTTAGAAATATATTACTTGCATCACGAATGGTTAAAGCAACTGAACCAATCACGTGCAAGCCTATCTTTGTGAGGGAAATCGGGGGGAGGGGGGGGGAGACTCAAACAAAATTATACAGGATTCAAAAGTATTATGAGCAGAACTTAGACTAAATCCTCTCAAAAGATTTAAGCACTGCTAAATCTCACGGTCCAATGAGATTTTGTGCTTCCCTTGTCTCTAATATTCCTTTCCTTTATGCTACACAGAGAACAGTGAAGACTTCATGAATGAAACTTCACATTTCAGATGCCACCATGCTTCTTTAATGGAGATGGCAGGTTACTTTTATCTTTTGTGATGACGGAGAATCAAGGAATCTAATTATCCAAAATTTAAAGGAAGAAATAATAAAATCTACCTTCACAACAACTGGATTTAATGCTACTCCTGATCTATAAGTTGTTAGAGACTTTTATGTGACCTACGGATTTGGGTGGACGAAGGTGCAAATCCGGTGGTGATTTCAAATCCTACAAACATGTGTGACCGCCGCTCAGCCTCTCCTTTCGTCCGGGAGAGGTTGAATCCTCTCCTAGATGGAGATCAGTGAATTCCCTCCGCTTCAGAATACTTCTATTATGGGGCCAATCCCGGCTGATACAACTGATGCCTCCTTCGCGAAGAATCTAGCAAACTCTTCCTATGCTCGAGAAGATTTTCCAGTATCCTTTGTTTGCCCGAGTCAGAAACTCACTTTTAAAGAAGACGGTCTCTCAGAGGGACTCTCTCTTTGGTCATTATCGCTAGTTAGATATTCATTATGGCCAAGGCCTTATTATGAGAAACTTCTAGCAGCAATGAAAAAGGTTTGGAACTTGAAAGGTTCACTTTCTTTACTATCTATGGCGGATGGGTTTTTCTTAATCAAGTTTACAAATCAAGAAGATTATGATTTGGTTTGATCTGGGGGGCCTTGGTTTTTTACTGGGGAAACCATTCATTCTTCAAAAATGGTCTCCTAAATTCCAACCTAAGAGGGATGAACTTTCTTCCATCTCTCTATGGATTAAAATTGTAGATCTTCCTCTAGCCCTTTGAACTTCGAAAGGAATTTCAAAAATTGCGAGTTACATTGATATACCAATTTCTGTTGATCCTCTCACAGCTAAAAGAGCGAGATTAACTTTTGCTAAGGTTTGCGTTCTTATCTCTAAAGAGTCGACATTACCGTATGAAATTCTGATAAATATAGAAGGCGAAGATTTCACACTTAAAGTTATTTATGATTGGAAGCCCACTCCTTGTGAAGGATGTGGATCTCTGGTTCATCCATATTCCTTATGCAAATCCAATCCTAATCCCATCCCTATTGTTTACCCTTCTCCTAAATCCAGGGACAGAGGAAGAAGTGCTAGCCAAAAACCTAGAAGTCAAAATCCAGATCATGCAAAACTCCCCTCTCCACACCGGACAAATTTGGAAGGTATTAACTCAGCCAATAATACCTTGCCTAATATAGCTCCACCAGTTGAAAAGGAAAAATCTATTATGGTCACTAATAATTGCATATCTAAAGTTGCAATTATTCCTAATCTCAACTTTCCTACTGAGGAAGCATCATCCTCAAGTCATCCTTCTCTTCCTCCTGTGATCCCTCCGTCCACTGTCAAGCTTTCCAATAAATTTGCTGCTCTACAATCGGATGATCCTTTAAATCAAGATATGGAGGAGAACACCTCTAAAGTTAATTCAAATGACAATACAAATGAATATTCCTCCCTCTCCAAATCCATCTGTTGAAAAAGCCCAATCTTCTCCTATTTTTATGCAAACTAGGACCAAATCTACCAGGAAGGCAAAAATTTCCAAAAACTAATGTTTTTTCAATTATAGCTTGTTGGAATTTTAGGGGTTTCAATAAACCTAAGAAGGTGATAGCTAGCAACGGTGATAAGAGGACTGTAGTTGGATGGCTTGTAATTTAGCAACAATGACCAGAGATATCATAGTGATTCATAGTGGTCCGAGGATTATAGTTGATGAGTGACAAAGGTCGAAGGGATCAAAGTTGGGCGATTGAGATTTGAGGGACCATAGCTGATGTATGACGAAAGCTAAAAGGGCCATAGTTGATTGGTGATGGAGGTTGGAAGGACCGTAGCAAGATGATAAAGGTCGGAGGGACCATTTTTGAGCGATGGAGGTCAAAGGGACACTAATTGTCGAGTGACAAAGGTTAGAAGGATTATGGCTGGTGATAGAGGTTATGGTGTTTTTTTTTTTTTGCGGGGGTGGGGGGGGGGGGGGGGGGGGGGGGGGGTGCTCATTACTGAGTGATAAAGTTTGGAGGGACCATAGTTAACTGATGGAGGCCAGGCGGAGTCCCGGGGGCTAGGGTGCCCTAACGGAGGTCCGACGGCAACAACGGTTGGGTGGAAATCTGGTGACTATTGGCCAATGAATATCTGACAATGGTGGTCGGGCGGTGAGGATATGTTGCCAATAGTGCCTGGGTGGAGTGCTCTAGGATTCTTTAAGCCTCATATATGTCTTGAATATTTAGCCCAAAGTCCTAACCTCCAAAAGTCCCGTTCACGGAGGTAGGTGGGTTCTATTATAGATTTAAGAGTGATATAACTCACAATGGTAAAGATTTAGAGCAAATTCAGAGTGCTCCATCAAGTGTTTTATATTTATTCCTTGATCATAGAGTGTTTCTTCGGCATTTATGTGCCTTAATTAAGTTGAGTAAGCTATCATAAGCTTGTTGGATTTGTTTTATCAAGCTGCACGACTCGACAACAAATATGCTATATTTGGAGATCATTTGATCATCAAATGAATGTCTTGAAGCTTTCATATATGCTTCAAGCCTTTGATTTGGTCTCATTTGAGCTAGGATTTGATCGATTTTGATACTGTTGTTTCATATTGTCCAGATATTCACTGTGACTATAAATTTACTAAAATTAAAATTCAAATGATCTAAAATTTAATCTTGAAAATTACCAACTTGAATATATGTTAAAATCCGTGTCCAACCAAAATTGTTTTTTTGGTGAGTATCAAAAGTCTATATAAGTAGCTATTTAATGCTTAAAAGCAAATTTTATCCGTTGAAAAATAAGGTAGGTTAAACTGCTTCTAAATTTTATTGGTGGTTTAGAGAGATACGAGGGTTGAGAGGGAGAAGGTTAAGAAAGCAATGCCTCTGGGAAAATATTACTGCGATTACTGCGACAAACACTTTCAGGACACGCCAGCAGCTCGGAAGCGCCACCTCTCTGGTGTCCAACACCAGCGCAATCGAGCCCTATGGTTCGACTCTGTCAAAGGTATCCTTTTCGATCTAGGGTAGACTCCACCTTTTCTCCCAATCTCGAAATTCACAAACGGTTAGATTATAATTGGCTAACCTTTGATTGGATCTGGGACAATGGCAGAAACACAGGGAGGCATTCTTCTTCATCACGATGGGAGTGTAGCTTTGGGAATCTGCCACCATTTTGTCCGCTTGGTAAGGCTCTGGAATTTTCCCCGTTGGGCTCTATAAGTGAGATTTTGAAATGAATGGAAACCTAGCTAATTCGAACTGTCATTCGACAATAGCAAATAAGTAATTGTGGATTGGGCCTGGTTGGTGCTGGCGAATTCTCTCGTTTTTTTTTTTTTTCTTTTTTTACGAATTCTTTCTGCTTATGTTTTGTCCAATTAATTAACCAGTGTCCTGAGCTTGAATAAAAGTAGCTTCTCTCGCAAGTGCCTTTAACCTTTTTAAGTTTCAATGATTTACATGATCATCTATAGCCTCTTGATAGATTTGTTGTCATTACCTCTCACTTTATAACATCTGTTGTACAAAAGACCGTTTCCTTTTTTTGTGCGTTGAACAAAATGCGAATAGTTATTTGCAAAAAACTCCTTACAATTTAGTATTGTTGTGGACTAGAATATAAGCGGCTATAGACTTAGAAAGTTTTCGTCGAATCCAGTCGCTGATTTCGCCGTTCGCTGCTTTCACCATTCGCTCGCGCCTTTAGCCGAATACATATCGCAGGCTTCTCCGCAGAATCCAGTCGGTGATTCCGCCGAGTTCGTCCGAAGGAGGTGGAGAGGATTAGAGATATGCATTTGAGGGAGCTCGCCAAGAGGATACAAATGATTCTAGTAAAGGTAAGCGATGGGGTAGGAGAGTAAGTGCTTTTAATGCAGTGGGTTGGTTGTTTTATGTTGCCGTTTTGAGCCCTGTTTTGTCGGGATTTTTTGGGTTTAATGATGAATTATGTTAGATCGTCGGGAAAATGCATCGGGATTAATAATCCTAACCCATCAGTATGCGTTGCACTATTTTGAGGTTTTTGGGTTATGTTAATTTGTTCGGGATGAGTAGGGAAATTAGTATTTCAAATGAGAGTGGGTGAAAAGAATTAACTAAAATTTAGAGGGGTTATAGGGTTTTCTTCTTTTAAATTTAGAGGGGTAAAAGCCATCTCGAGCTTTCTCTTGATTCCACCGCAGTTTGAATTGTCTCTATCAAGTGAATCTTCTTGTTATGTGACCTGATTTGCCGTCTCAATCTATTGCATGTGATCAATTAGACCATTGAGCGAGCCTTACGCCATGCTTATATTCTGATAATTGTTTCGGATTCTCGCCTGCTTGAATATAGACGAATAAAACATGCACATGATGCAAAATGAGGTGAGATTAGAATGAATAGTACATCAAAGGTTGGTTAATTTAGTGATTAGAAATGCTACGTTTATATATATCAACAAAGTGTCCATAAAAAAAGTGTCGGTAGATTTGTTCATCAGTTTAAGGGGCTGCATCTTGTCTATTTTAGGCATAGTTTAATTAGAATTAGCTTAGATGCAGAGCTTATTTTGATATGGTTGTTGGGGCTTTGGCTATTAATTTTTTTTTTTTAATTTGAAGCTTGTGCATGTGATATGTGTATAAATTTGACTTAATCAGTTCAAATGTCAAAAGTTTTTCAATATAATTTTGATATTTAAATTATGCTTTTTTAAATCCTCTTTTAGCTCTATTATTGATTAAATTATATTATTTTGATCAATTATTTCAAAAATAATCAAACAAATGAATAATGTATATGATGGGATAAGATTTATCAATTGTCATATTTCAATTGATTTAAGATAGAAGTTTGTAGATGACACATTGCTAACAATTTGGATATGAAGTATGAATATATACATGAATGTTTATAAGTGATTAGTTTGTAACATAAAGGCCTCATTGGAAGGATTTTTTATGTAGCCTGTTGATGTAGGCAAGGAATGGGTCAAAATAAGTTGAGTTGAAAATTTTATAAGTTCTACTTGAATCAGCTCATTAATGAGCCTCTTCTTATGTTTCAAGCTCATAAATGCTTTCCTCTACTATATATCAGCTCATTAATGTTTAGTAGAGAGCCTTTTTAGCTCATAAATTGAGGTTCATTTCCCCATTTGTTATCCCTTTGGTTCCTGTGAATGGCTTTTGGGTTTTCTATGCCATGGCTCCTTGGTTTCCCTAGTTGGTTGCTGGTTTTTCGTGCTGGGTGGCCTTTCCCGTGCCTTGGTGCTTCGGTTCCGTGCGGGCCTCCTTGGCTTTTGCGTCTGCCTCTTCGGATTCCGCCTGGGCTGTTTTCCCGTGGCTTATGGGGGGGGGGGCTTTTATGTGGCTTTGGTGCTTCGTTTCCTAGAGTTGGCTATTGGCTTTTCATATTCCCTATTTAAATAAGCTTTTAAATTAATGTTGAGGGGTTGTTTGTATTCCTTCTCTCTTGCCTATATATAGAGTTGTTTTGGGATGTTTAGAAAATGTTATTTGAATGATTTTTGGAAATGTAAACCTGCGGGTTTTGTTGGAAAAGCTTGCGAGCTTTGTCCACTTCTTCTCTTCTTCTCGGCTTCTAATCTCTTTCATCTCTCCGCAAGTGATCACCTCACCTGTATCCCTCTTCTCAAAAGTAAGCAAGTTTAGGGTGTCTTATTAGAGTTTTTGTTTGTAAGTCGTTCAATTTTAAGAGTTGTAAGTCTTTATTTATAAAAATATTCGTTTATATGAAATGTAAGAGTTTGTTCTAAAATTTCTAAGTTATCTATTCTTTTTGGGTATTTTGTGTCTTCTTTTATATAGGAAGTTATTTTTCCTTTGTGATTACATTACCTGTAGGGTTATTTATGAGATAAACTCAATATTTTATTGAAAAATTTGTTACAAAAAATTTTATTGACATATGAAGTATTTGAATTTGTTTGCTTTTAGGTGATCATAAAATGTCAGATTCAGTTTAATCTTTAAAAAAAGATCTAACATGTAAATATGCTATTCTGACAAATGAATCCGAAAACACCAGTGTGACATGCAATTTTTGTAGTAAAATAACAAAAGGAGGAATTACACGCTACAAACAACACCTTGCTGTGGGTTTTAGGAATGCAAGGCAGTACTCTAAGTATAGCTGTCAATGGCGCAAAATAGCGCGCACCATGGCGCACGGCGCGGCGCACCTTCGGCGCCATGTTTATGGCGAGGCGCATGTGTTTAAAATAGCGCGCGCTATTTGCGCCACATATGAGCCATGGCCCATTGCGCACGGCGCAAAATAGCGTGCCAAATTGTTTTTAAATTGGGAGATTTACATACATACCACTTAATACTATTTTATTTACATATTTAACACTTAAAACTTTAATATTACATAAATACTACCCATAGTTCATTTTCATACCAAGTATGAGTGGTAGAAATGAAATATATGAGTGGTAGGAAAGAAATATAAGTGGTATATTTGATATTAAAATAATATAGGATGGTATGCATGTAATATTAAAATTTTAGGTGTTAGATATGTAAATAGGATGTTATAAAGTGGTATGTACGTAAATTTCCCTTTTAAATTTTCGTATACTTATGAATATTTTTTATATTTAAAAACATATCTATATTTGAAGATAAACGACTATTCATTGCCCTAATTTCAAGAAATATTTTCTGTTTGCTGCATCCGCCGAACACATCCCGCAGTCCCTAAGTCGAGGTCGCTGAATCTATCCCGAAGTCGAAGGTTTTTTGTTTTCTATTTGCTGCATTCGCTACTTCCGTCGAATCCAGCCGAATATGTTCTGAAGTTGAAGTCGTTGTTTCCGCCGAATCGTCCCGCAGAGCAGTGCTTCAGCCGAATATGTTCTGAAGTTGAAGTCGTCTGTTCCAATAAAAAATCTTACCAGCTGACTCTGATTTGCAACCTCCGTCTGTTCCGCACAGCTCTATTGTTTTGCACGGCTATTTCTTACAAGAATTTAGAACTTAACAGGTATGCTCGGTACCTTTAGGTACACGCTCGGTACACACTCGGTATTGCTAAGTACATGCATGATACCGCTCGGTACCGCTATGTAAATGCTCGGTACCGCTCGGTACAGCTCGGTACAACTAGGTACCAGCTCGGTACAACTAGGTACACGCTCAGTATATACTCGGTATTACTAAGTACATGCATGATACCGCTCGGTACCGCTATGTAAATGCTCGGTACCGCTCGGTACAGCTCGGTACCGCTAGTTACATGCTTTGTACCGCTCGGTACAGCTCGGTACAATTAGGTCGAACCTCGCCAGGGGGCAGCGCCCCCTTGGACCCCCGGCAGCCCCCATATTATGTTTCTTGGACAATATTATGTTCCTTTTATCTAAATTTGTTTGCTTTTAGGTGATCATAAAATGTCAGATTCAGTTCAATCTTTAAAAAAAGATCCAGCGTGGAAATATGCTATACTAACAAATAAATCCGACAACAACAGTGTGACATACATTTTTTTTGGTAAAATAACAAAATGAGGAATTACACGCCACAAACAACACCTCGTTGGGGGTTTTAGAAATGCAAGGCCACTCTAACTGTCCCGAGCATGTGAAGTCTGAAATTAAGGCATCCATATTGAAAAAAAAGATTTAAATGAACAGTTTAATGACATATCAGATGTCAACCTTGCTGAAGAAGAAGGAGAAGACTTTGATGTGATGACAGATGATATTTTAGTTTCTAAACCATCCAAAATGTTGCGGACAAATAAATCTTAATCAATTTTCTTGTTAATTGTCCAAGAGGTAGTGCATTCATAGAATCAATTGATGCTAGTTCTTTCTCCAAGAATGCTGTGAAAATGTTTGAACTTTTTTGCAAGTATATCGAGGTTATTGGACCACATAATGTGATCCAAGTAGTCACTGATAATGCATCCGAAAATGTTCTTGCAGGTTTGTCACAACTTTTATTCTAAAGTTATGTTATTTCATGAAGAATTTGTGTACATCTTAACTTAAATTATAATGACATAGCAGGAAAATTATTGATGGACAAATATCCTCACATTTATTGGACTCCTTGTGCTGCTCACTGTTTGGATTTATTAATGGAGGACATTTTCAAAATTCAAAAGCTAAGACGATGCTTTGAGAAAGCAGTGGCAGTACACAGTTTTATATATTCTAGGCCTCGCTTACT